TCCAACCATGGTATAAAAGGCATTCCACCCAACTTACAGATAGCTACCAACCATGGAATCAAGATCCATGCATCAGCTAAGAATAGTGTCTTGGCATCACAAAATGTTGTGGATAAAATACCGAAGCACTCGATGGTTTCAACAGCAGCAGAGCAGTTGCATGACACGCCGGTAAAAATAACCATAACAAAGCAGGATGTTGTGCCAATCATACAAACCGACCGTTCTTCCAAATCCACACCTCTACTTGGTGTTTTTAGTGTAACCAATAAGAAACAAATAATGTCTCATGCAAATCAGCTTTCGCATCGAAAATCTAGTTTCACATCAACTTCTGTACATAAAGAACACGCCATACATGAAGTTGCCTATGGAGCTGGCTCTGGAAAACAAGCACCAATGTCCAGAGACGGTACCAAAACTCAAAACTCATTTGGAGTGAAATCTTCAATGACAAATCCACTTGATCTTCAATGGGAAACAGGTAGAGATACGGCACTTACAGGTATACACCAAATATTATCACCCACGCTTCAAAAAATACAACAATCGGTAGCGCAGAATCAGATTGTAGGTGTAAAAGGTACTCACGAACTTGTCGACCACCATTCCCAGACCAACCTGCTTACTTCGCCAGCAGCGTCCACCCCAACAGTGGGAAGTATACACCATCTTGTACAAGGAACGAATTTGACCGAATTGGCAAGCTTGATTAAAAACATTCCTTTTACAAATGGAACAGAAGTTTTAACTGTGAGTAATGGACAGTCGCCTTCAAAACAATTTATATTAGTGACCCACAATGCCACAACTGTGCCCTATTCTAGTGCGAACAACTCATCAAGTGTTACAACTACTAAAAATGTGACCATACAATATGTTCAAACGATCCCGACTCAAAATGTAGTCAAGCAACCAGATTTAAAGATTATGAAGAATATCAAATCGACACAGGCTGCCACAACAGCTGGAATATCCAAGGCGACAGCTACAAATAGACATTTTCCGTCACAGACCATGTCAGGTATTAATCCTTCAACTGAACAAAATATATTGTCAGCACCATCGACCCAGCGAAAAGTACTGACGAATACGAATACTCCAATCCAACGCAGCACGATAAATGCACTACCGGTACAACGGCAATCACACCCAATAATTACAAATTCTGTGAAATCAACGAATACGGTGATTGTAGCGTCACCCAAGCATCAAAAACCAACATCAACTACAAATTCAGTAGCATCTGCGCCATCCAATCTTCAAATGACCACGAATTCAATAAATTTAGCAGCATCTCAACAGCAACCAGCAGTAACATCTACTAATTTAACACCATTACCGAAACGAATACAAAGATCGAATTCAGCACCACCCCAGCAACAAACAGCATTAAAAACTATGAATTCTTCAATTATAAATTCAGCACCATCCCAGCGACGAGCCACGTCATCAACTACAAATTCAGTTGTTAATTCGGCATCATCAAGAACTATGAATTCGATCAATCCAGTATTATCTCGACAACAAGCACCATCAACGGCTATGAATTTAGGTGTCAATTCAGCACCATCCCAGAAACAATCATTTTCATCAAATACCGTGAAACAAACAAGATCAACATTTGGAACCTCGGCTATAAATTCAGCACCATACCGACAACGAACATCGGCAAATACAAATTCCGTTGTTAATTCGGCATCACCCAAGCAACAAACAGCATCTGGAACTATGAATTCGATCAATCCAGTACTATCTCGACAACAAACACCATCAACGGCTATAAATTTAGGTGTCAATTCAGCACCATCCCAGCAACAATCAGTTTCATCAACTACAAATTCGGTTGTTAATTCGGCACCATCCCAGCGACGAGCCACATCATCATCTACAAATTCACCATCGACGGCTACGAATTTAGGTATCATTTCAGCACAAACCCTGCATCAAGCCACATCATCGAATACGAATTCGGTTGTCACTTCGGCATCTCCCAACCAACAAACAGCATCAGGAACTATGAATTCGACCAATCTAGTACTAGCTCGACAACAAGCACCATCGACGGCTACGAATTTAGGTATCATTTCAGCACCAACCCAGCAACAAGCCACATCATCAAATACGAATTCGGTTGTCAATTCGGCATCTCCCAAACAACAAACAGCATCTGGATCTATGAATTCGACCAATCCAGTACTAGCTCGACAACAGGCACAATCGACGGCTACGAATTTAGGTATCATTTCAGCACCAACCCAGCAACAAGCCACCTCATCAAATATGAATTCGGTTGTCAATTCGGCATCTCCCAAACAACAAACAGCATCAGGAACTATGAATTCGACCAATCCAGTACTAGCTCGACAACAGGCACAATCGACGGCTACGAATTTAGGTATCATTTCAGTACCAACCCAGCGACGACCCACATCATCATCTACAAATTCACCATTAACGGCTATGAATCTAGGTGACAATTCAGCACCATCCCAACAACAACCAGTTTCATCAAATACCGTGCAACAAACAAGATCAACATTTGGAACTTCGGCTATCAATTCAGCACCTTCCCAGCAACGAACATCGGCAAACTTGATTGTTCATTCGGCATCACCTAAGCAACTAACAGCATCTGGAACTATGAATTCGATCAATACAGTTCTATCTCGGCAACAAACTCCATCAACGGCTACGAATTTAGGTGTCAATTCAGCACCATCCCAGCGACGAACAACATCATCAACTACAAATTCGGTTGTTAATTCGGCATCACCCAAGCAACAAACAGCATCTGGAAGTATGAATTCGAACAATCAGGTATTATCTCGACAACAAGCACCATCAATGGCTATAAATTTAGGTGTAAATTCAGCACCATCCCAACAATCAGTTTCATCAAATACCGTGCAACAAACAAGATCAACATTTGGAACTTCGGCTATAAATTCAGCATCATCCCGACAACGAGCATCGGCAAATACAAATCCAGTGCTTTCTCGACAACAAGAACCACCAACGGCTATGAATTTAGGTGTCATTTTAGCACATGCCAAGCGACAAGCCACATCATCAAATACGAATTTGGTTGTCAATTCGGCATCTCCCAAGCTACAAACAGCATCAGGAAATATGAATTCGATCAATCCAGCACTGTCTCGACAACAAGCGCCATCAACGGCTATGAATTTAGGTGTCAATTCAGCACAAGCCCAGCGACAAGCCACATCATCAAATACGAATTTGGTTGTCAATTCGGCATCTCCCAAGCTACAAACAGCATCAGGAAATATGAATTCGATAATTCCAGTACTAGCTCGACAGCAAGCACCATCGATGGCTACGAATTTAGGTATCATTTCAGCACCATCTCAGCGACGAGCACCATCAACAATTACGAACCCAGTTGTCAGTTTAGTACCATCCAAGCAACAAACATCGACAACTACCATCGCAGCCGCCAGTTCAGCCCCATCGCAGCAACAAACAACATCAATAACCACGAATTCAATCGTCCAATCCGCACCCACGCCATCTGTGCAACAAACAACAACTTCAAAAACTACAAATACAGTTGTCAATCTGGTGCCATCTCAGAAAATATTACCATCAACAACTACGACATCAGTCGTTTTTTTAGGACCATTTCAACAACAAATGATACCAGCCAATTCACCACTGTCTCAGCAAAAAACATCTACAAATTCATTTGTCAATTCTACGCCATCTCAGCAGCAATCTGTGACAACAACTAAAAATCCAGTCGTCAATTCAGTGCCAACTCAGCAACATTCATCGACAACAACTACAAAATCAGTCGTCAATTCAGTGCCATCTCAGCAACAGTCTCGCACAACAACTACAAATTCAGGCGTCAATTTACAGCCATCTCAGCAACACTTGCCAACAACAACTACAAATTCAGTCCTCAATTCAGTGCCATCTCAGCAACATTCATCAACAACAACTACAAATTCAGTCGACAATTCACTGCCATATCAGCAGCAATCACCGACAACAACAACAAATACAGTCATCAATTCAGCCTCATCTCAGCAGCAATCACCAACAACAATTACAAATTCAGTGCCATCACAGCAAAAATTGTCAACAGCAACTAAAAATTCTGTTGTCAATTCAGTTCCATCTCAGCATCAATCAACGACAACAACAACCAATTCAGTTGTCAATCCAGTGCCATCTCAGCAACAATCATCGACAGTAACAACAAATTCAGTTGCCAATTCAGCCTCACCTCAGCAACAGTCATGGACAAAAACTACTAATTCAGTTGTCAAAATAGCACAATCTCAGCAGCAATCACCGACAGCAACTACAAACATAGTTGTGAATTCAGTGCCATCTCAGCAGCAATCTCCGACAATAACTACAAATTCAACCGCCAATTCAGTATCATCTCGGCAACAATCACCGCCAACAACTACAAATACTGTCGTCAATTCAGCCGCATCACAGCAACAAAGACAGACAACAACTACAAATACAGTTGCAAAGTCAGTTTTAAATCAGCAGCAATCGCCGACAACGATAACAAATACAGTCGTCAATTCAGCGCAATCTCAACAAAAATCACCGACACCAACAAGAAATCAAGTCGCCAATTCAGTGCCTTCTATGCAACAATTATCGACAACAAATGCAAATGTAGTAGTCAATTCAGTGCCATCTCAGCAGCAATCCCCGACAACACCAACAAATTCGGTTGTCAATCTAGCCTCACCTCAGCAACAATCACCGACAACTTCAAGTACAGTTGTAAATTCAGTGCCATCTCAGCAGCAATCATCGACAACAACTACAAATTCAGTCGTCAATTCATTGCCATCTCAGCAGCAATCCCGTACAACAACTACAAATTCAGTCGTCAATTCAGTTCCATCTCAGCAACAATCACCAACAACAACTACAAATTCAGTCGTCAATTCATTGCCATCTCAGCAACAATCGTCAACAACAAGTACAACTTCTGTTGTCAATTCAGTTCCATCTCAGCATCAATCGTCGACAAATACAATTACAGTCGTCAATACAGCACCATCTCAGCAGCAATCACCGACAACAACTTCAAGTACAGTTGTAAATTCAGTGCCATCTCAGCAGCAATCACCGACAACAACAAAAAATACAGTCGTCAATTCAGTACCATCTCACCAACAATCACCAACACCAACTACAAATTTAATTGTCAATTCAGCCACATCTCAGCAGCAATCACCGACAACAGTTACAAATGCAGTCGTCAATTCAGTGCCATCTCAGCAGCAATCACCGAATACAGCTACAAATACAGTCGTCATTTCAGCCTCATCTCAGCAGCAGTCACCGACAACATTTACAAATTCAGTCGTCAATTCAGTGCCATCTCAGCAACAATCACCGACAACAACTACAAATACAGTTGTCAATTCAATTTTAAACCAGCAGCAATCACAGACAACAACAACAAATAAAGTCGTCAATTCTTCCTCATCTCAGCAGCAATCACAGACAAGAGCAACAAATACAGTCGTAAATTCAGCTTCATCTCAGCAGCGATCACCGACAACACCAACAAATACAGTCGTTAATTCAGCTTCAACTCAGCAGCAATCACCGACAACTACAAGCACAATTGTAAATTCAGTGCCATCTCAGCAGCAATCATCGACAACAACTACAAAATCAGTAGTCAATTCATTGCCATTTCAGCAACAATCCCGTACAACAACTACAAATTCAGTGGTCAATTCAGTGCCATTTCAGCAACAATCACCGACCACAACAACAAATACAGTCGTCAATTCAGCCTCATCTCAGCATCAATCACCGACAACAACTAAAATTTCAGTCAACAATTTAGTGCCATCTCAGCAACAATCCCGTAAAACAACAACAAATACAGTCGTCAATTCTTCCTCATCTCAGCAGCAATCACAGACAAGAGCAACAAATACAGTCGTAAATTCAGCTTCATCTCAGCAGCAATCACCGACAACTACAAGCACAATTGTAAATTCAGTGCCATCTCAGCAGCAATCATCGACAACAACTACAAAATCAGTAGTCAATTCATTGCCATTTCAGCAACAATCCCGTACAACAACTACAAATTCAGTGGTCAATTCAGTGCCATTTCAGCAACAATCACCGACCACAACAACAAATACAGTCGTCAATTCAGCCTCATCTCAGCATCAATCACCGACAACAACTAAAATTTCAGTCAACAATTTAGTGCCATCTCAGCAACAATCCCGTAAAACAACAACAAATACAGTCGTCAATTCAGTGCCATTTCAGCAACAACCAGCAACTACAAAGTCTGTTGTCAATTCAATTTCTTCTCAGCAGCAATCATCGACAACAACTAAAAGCGCAGTTGTCAATTCAGTTCCATCTCGGTATCAATCATCGACAACAACTATCAATTCAGTTGTCAATCCAGTGCCATTTCATCAACAAACATCGACACTAACAACAAATTCAGTTGCCAATTCAGCCTCACCTCAGCAACAATCACCGACACCAACTACAAATTTAGTCGTCAATTCAGTTCCATCTCAGCAACAATCACCGACACCAACTACAAATTTAGTCGTCAATTCAGTTCCATCTCAGCAACAATCACCGACAACAGCTAAAAATTCAGTCGTCAATTCAGTGCCATCTCACCAGCAATCATCGACAAAAACTACAAATACAGTCGTCAGTTCAGCCTCATCACAGCAGCAATCACCGACAACAACTACAAATACAATCGCAAATTCAGTTTTAAATCAGCAGCAATCACTTTCAACAATAACAAATCCAGTCGTCAATTCAATTCCATCTCAGCAACCATCATTGACAACAACAAGAAATTCAGTCGTCAATTCATTGCCCTCTCAGCAGCAATCATTGACAACAACTACAAATACTGTCGTCAATTCAGTGCCATCTCAGCAACAATCAGCAACTACAAATTCTGTTATCAATTCAGTTTCATCTCAGCAGCAATCATCGACAACAACTAAAAACGCAGTTGTCAATTCAGTTCCATCTCGGCATCAATCATCGACAACAACTACCAATTCAGGTGTCAATCCAGTGCCATCTCAGCAACAATTATCGACAAAAACTATAAATTCAGTTGTCAATTCAGCCTCAAATCAGCAGCAATCACCGACAACAACTACAAAAACAGTCGCAAATTCAGTTTTAAATCAACAGCAATCACCGACAACAACAACAAATACAGACGTCAATTCAGTGCCATCTCAGCAGCAACAATCAGCAACTACAAATTCTGTTGTTAATTCAGTTTCATCTAAGCAGCAATCATCGACAACAACTAAAAACGCAATTGTCAATTCAGTTCCATCTCAGCATCAATCATCGACAACAACTACCAATTCAGTTGTCAATCCAGTGCCATCTCAGCAACAATCATCGACAGTAACAACAAATTCAGTTGCCAATTCAACCTCACCTCAGCAACAGTCATGGACAAAAACTACAAATTCAGTTGTCAATTCAGCCTCAAATCAGCAGCAATCACCGACACCAACTACAAATTCAGTCGTAAATACAGCACCTTCTCGGCAGAAATCATCGACAACAACTACAACTCCAGTCGTCAATTCATTACCATCTCAGCAACAATCCCGTACAACAACTACAAATTCAGTCGTCAATTCAGTTCCATCGCAGCAACAATCATCGGCAACAGCTACAAATTCAGTCGTCAATTCAGTGCCATCTCACCAGCAATCATCGACAACAACTACAAATTCAATAGTCAATTCAGCCTCATCTCAACAGCAATCGCCTTCACCAACGACAAATTTAATTGTCAATGCAGCCACATCACAGCAGCAATCACCGACAACAACTACAAAAACAGTCGCAAATTCAGTTTTAAATCAGCAGCAATCACCGACAACAACAAATACAGTCGTCAATTCAGTGCCATCTCAGCAACAATCAGCAACTACAAATTCTTTTGTCAATTCAGTTTCATCTCAGCAGCAACCATCGACAACAACTAAAAACGCAGCGGTCAATTCAGTTCCATCTCAGCATCAATCATCGTTAACAACTACCAGTTCAGTTGTCAATCCAGTGGCATCTCAGCAACAATCATCGACAGTAACAACAAATTCAGTTGCCAATTCAGCCTCACCACAGCAACAATCGTCGACACCAACTATAAATTCAGTCGTCAATACAGCCTCAAATCAGCATCAATCACCGACAACAACTATAAAAACAGTCGCAAATTCAGTTTTAAATCAGCAGCAATTACCGACAACAACAACAAATACAGTCGTCAATTCAGTGCCATCTCAGCAGCAACAATCAGCAACTACAAATTCTGTTGTTAATTCAGTTTCATCTCAGCAGCAATTATCGACAACAACTAAAAACGCAGTTGTCAATTCAGTTCCTTCTCAGCATCAATCATCGACAACAACTACCAATTCAGTTGTCAATCCAGTGCCATCTCAGCAACAATCATCGACAGTAACAACAAATTCAGTTGCCAATTCAGCCTCATCTCTGCAACAGCCATGGACAAAAACTACAAATTCTGTTGTTAATTCAGTTTCATCTCAGCAGCAATCACCGACACCAACTACAAATTCAGTCGTCAATACAGTACCTTCTCGGCAGAAATCATCGACAACAACTACAACTTCAGTCGTCAATTCATTACCATCGCAGCAACAATCACCGGCAACAACTACAAATTCAGTCGTCAATTCAGTTCCATCGCAGCAACAATCACCGGCAACAGCTACAAATACAGTCGTAAATTCAGCTTCATCTCAGCAGCAATCGCCTTCACCAACGACAAATTTAATTGTAAATGCAGCCTCACCACAGCAACAATCATCGACACCAACTATAAATTCAGCCGTCAATACAGCACCTTTTCTGCAGAAATCATCGACAACAACTACAAATACAGTCGTCAATTCAGTGCCATCTCAGCAACAATCAGCAACTACAAATTCTGTTGTCAATTCAATTTCATCTCAGCAGCAACCATCGACAACAACTAAAAACGCAGCGGTCAATTCAGTTCCATCTCAGCATCAATCATCGTTAACGACTACCAATTCAGTTGTCAATCCAGTGGCATCTCAGCAACAATCATCGACAGTAACAACAAATACAGTCGTAAATTCAGCTTCATCTCAGCAGCAATCGCCTTCACCAACGACAAAGTTAATTGTCAATGCAGCCACATCACAGCAGCTATCACCGACAACAACTACAAATACAGTCGCAAATACAGTTTTAAATCAGCAGCAATCACTTACAACAATAACAAATCCAGTCGTCCATTCAATGCCATCTCAGCAACAATCACCCACAGCTACAAATTCAGTCGCCAATTCAGTGCCATCTCACCAACAATCATCGACAACAACTACAAATACAGTCGTCAGTTCAGCCTCATCACAGCAGCAATCACCGACAACAACTACAAATACAATCGCAAATCTTGTTTTAAATCAGAAACAATCACCTACAACAATAACAAATCCAGTCGTCAATTCAATGCCATCTCAGCAACCATCACCGACAACAACAAGAAATCCAGACGTCAATTCAGTGCCCTCTCAGCAGCAATCATCGACAACAACTACAAATACTGTCGTCAATTCAGTGCCATCTCAGCAACAATCAGCAACTACAAATTCTGTTGTCAATTCAGTTTCATCTCAGCAGCAATCATCGACAAAGACTAAAAACGCAGTTGTCAATTCAGTTCCATCTCAGCATCAATCATCGACAACAACTACCAATTCAGTCGTCAATCCAGTGCCATCTCAGCAACAATTATCGACAAAAACTACTAATTCAGTTGTCAATTCAGCCTCAAATCAGCAGCAATCACCGACAACAACAACAAATACAGTCGTCAATTCAGTGCCATCGCAGCAACAATCAGCAACTACAAATTCAGTTGCCAATTCAGCCTCACCACAGCAACAATCATCGACACCAACTATAAATTTAGCCGTCAACACAGCACCTTCTCTGCAGAAATCATCGACAACAACTACAAATACAGTCGTCAATTCAGTGCCATCTCAGCAACAATCAGCAACTACAAATTCTGTTGTCAATTCAATTTCATCTCAGCAGCAACCATCGACAACAACTAAAAACGCAGCGGTCAATTCAGTTCCATCTCAGCATCAATCATCGTTAACGACTACCAATTCAGTTGTCAATCCAGTGGCATCTCAGCAACAATCATCGACAGTAACAACAAATTCAGTTGCCAATTCAGCCTCACCACAGCAACAATCATCGACACCAACTATAAATTCAGTCGTCAATACAGCTCCTTCTCTGCAGAAATCATCGACAACAACTACAAATACAGTCGTCAATTCATTGCCATCTCAGCAACAATCAGCAACTACAACTACAAATTCAATCGTCAATTCAGCCTCATCTCAGCAGCAGTCACCCA